TCTGGCAGACTCCTGCTGCAAGCTTACGTACCTGCAAACGAGCAGACCGCAAGTACTTCATCCCTTCCAAGGGCTCTGAATTTCTTTTCACTCATCCAGCGCCTAATTTGCTGGTAGTTGATGCAGTCAACCAAAAGAACAAGCACCAGTATCCCCGCTCTACCCCAGCCGATAAAGACAGTAAGTGTTTAGATCTGCTTGGACATAAAGTGTACGCATCTTCCACCCTACAATTTCGAATTGCTAATTATACGGCCATTCTGGCAAAATATGATCACAAAAATTACAACAAATTCATGGACTTTATTGAGGACTTTCCAGAAGCAAAGAAACAACAATTCACTGCTTTAGTCTCTGAGGGACAAATCATATCACGTACCGCTCTTCAAGCGGCCCTCAATGTGTCCAATACTGCAGCAAGATCCACCGCTACAGCAGTAGTCTTGTGTCGCGGTTCGTGGCTCTCTTCCTCTTCCTTTCCTTGAGAGGTCCAGACTACTATTGAAGACCTTCCATTCAACGGCGACAAACTCTTTGCCTCCACAACGAACGACATCCTTCACTCAATGAAGGATTAAAGGGCAACTCTCCGGTCCTTAGGAATACAAACTCCTACACCAGAAGGTGACAATATAGATACCAACCTTACCACCGTCCACACTACCCCACATCTACCCAGCACTTCCAGAGATCACACGACCAACAACAGCAACAAGAGACCCAGATACCAGCATTGCCGCCCCAATTCAGTGGCAGTGTCTCAACCCTCTCCGACTAACAAGCAGATTTGAAGCCTTGGTTGAGGGTTTCGAAAACAATGTTCCCACTTCAGTGTTTACACCGCCTGTCCCTACTTTTGGACACCACCTACGACCATTCTTCCATCAATGGCACAACATTACCACTGACAAGTGGATTTTAGAGGTCATTACACTTGGCTATTCCATCCCCTTCCTATCCATGCCTCCTACCCACCCACCCTCCCTCTCCCTCTTCAGGGACCCCTCTCACGAGCAACTGCTCCTACAAGAAGTACAACATTTCCTTCTATTGGGAGCAGTGGAGCTTATGCCCGAACGACACAGAGGGAAGGGGTTTTACTCCCATTATTTCTTAATAGAAAAGAAAACTGGGGGATGGCAACTGATCCTCGACCTCAGGTGGCTCAACAATTTTATCAAGAAACAAAAGTTCAAAATGGTTACCCTCGCCACCATAATCCCAGTGCTGGAGCAGGGCAATTGGTTTTCAGCCCTTGACCTACAGGGCACCTATTTTCATGTGACAATACATCCAGCCCACAGACGCTTCCTTCATTTCACCCTCGGCTCGACACATTTTCAATACAGGGTACTATCCTTCTGCCTATCCACTGCCCCCCGTGTTTTTCCAAGCTCCTGGATGTAGTTACTGACCACCTCAGGAAGCAAGGAGTCATAATATTTCCTTACCTAGATGACTGCTTCCTCAAAGCCTCAATGCTCGACAAAGCGCTTCAATTCATGCAACTCACCGTTGATTGTTTTCTATCCCTCGGCCTATAAATAAACAATGACAAATCCACATGAATTCCTACCCAGCACCTGGAGTTCATTGGAGCACACCTCGATTCCCGGATGGGAATAGCATCTCTCCTGTCCAATCGCTTCAACACCATAAAGCAGCTGGCAACAGAACTTCTCAACAGTCCTAAAGTCACCACTCGAGACTGTTTACGAGTACTATGTCACATGGCCCTGTGCATTTTCGTAGTCCAAAACGCAGAACTCTACATGAGGTGCTTCCAAGCTTGGTTGGCCATAGTTTACAGACCCAATGTGCATGCACTAAACAAACCCCTATCCATACCTTTCTGAGTCAAAGACTGTCTCCTATGGTGGACAGTTCCCTCCAACCTCTGCTCTGGAGTCCCCTTTCTCCAGGAGGCTCCATCCATCATAATGACTACCGACACATCCCTCACAGGGTGGGGTACTCACATGTTACATTTCGCAACCCAGGGGCTATGGACTCCAATGGAAACCTCCCTGCACATAAACATTCTGTAACTTTGAGCTATGAGCAATGCCTGCCCCTTCCTCCCGTTAATCTGGAACCAATGTACGGATAATGACAGACATCATCGTTTGCAAGTTCTATGTAAACAGACAGGGAGGAGCTCGCTCTCATTTGCTTTGCACAGAAGCTATGAAACTCTGGAACTGGTGCCTTATGAACAATATCTGGATATCAGCCGCCTACCTTCCCAGGGCTATGAATACCACAAAGGATGAATTAAGCAGATGCTTTCCCTTGGACCATGAATGGGAGATAAATGAAACGATCATCACCAACGTATTCCGCATTTGGGGCTACCCAACCATAGACCTCTTTGCAGCTGCGAAAAACACGAAATGCCCTGAATTTTGATCCAGAGCAGGACTGGGTAAACACTCCCTGGGAGATGCATTTATGATCCGAAAAAGAAAAGGAGTACTTGTGGCACCTTAGAGACTAATAAATTTGAACTAAGCTCGGAACTTCCACTGCTATGGACTGGATTTCCCTCCCCGGTCCCGATTCTCCACAGAGTTCTGACAAAAATACAAACAGATTGTGCCCTGATTGTCCCAGGGTAGCCCAGACAGCCGCGTTCCCATTCCTCACCAGGATGTCAACTCGACCTCCAATCTCATAGCATCTCATCCGAACCTCCTAACGCAGCAACATGGCCGATTTCTCCACCCCAATCTGTCCATGCTTCACCTCAAAGCTTGGTTCCTACATGGTTCTCCCAAAACAAACTAGCATGCTCTGACAAAGTTCAAAGAGTGCTCCTCTATAGCAGAACACAATCTACTCACACCACCTATCTCTGAAAGTGAAAGCGATTCACACAATGGTGCTCAACTAAACAACATCCTCCTAGTTCTGCACCTCTTTCGCTCATACTTGACTACCTATTAGACCTCAAGCAATCGGGCCTTTCTTTCAGCTCCATCAAAGTCCACCTAGCTGCTATTACAACTTTTCATGACAAGATGGAAGATACCTCTGTTTTTGCTCATCCAATCACCAAGTGTTTTCTCAGCGGGCTCCAATCCCTATACCCGGACATTAAACCTCCGACCCCTCCGTGGGACCTTCACTTAGTATTATCTTGCTTAACTCAACAACCATTCGAACCCCTAGCTACTTGCTCCCTCTTACACCTTTCTTTGAAAACAGCATTCTTAGTGGCAATCACTTTTGCCAGTCGGGCAGGAGAAATAGCAGCTCTCATGGCAGACCCACTGTATACCCTATTTTTTAAGGACAAAGTTACCCTTCAATTACACCCCAAATTTCTTCCAAAGATGCATTCGTCACTCCGTATCAACAAGCTGAAACACCTACCAACTTTTTTCCTAAACCACATGCAAACTCTTTTGAATCCACAATGCATACGTTAGATGTACGCAGGACTTTGTCCTTGTATTTGGATAGAACCAAGCCCTTTAGGAACTCTTCTAGACTCTTTGTCTCCATTACGGAGTGATCCAGAGGGACACCTGTTTCGACCCAGAGACTTTCAAAATGGATTTCTGACTGCATCCGATTCCGTTACGCCTCCAGCAGACATCAGAACTCACTCCACTAGATTAGTGGCTACCTCTGTGGCTTTTCTACGCAAAGTTTTCCTGACTGACATCTGTAAAGCAGCCACTTGGTCTTCTGAGCACACTTTTGTTAAGCACTATGCCCTTACTCAGGGCCCCCTCTCGGATACATGATTAGGCAGAGCTGTTTTATCTACTGCATTTCCACCCAATCGGAAGTCCCTACCTCCTTGAGATACACCCCTTTTAAGTCACCTAGAGTGGAGCACGCACAGGGACAGCTCTCGAAGAAGAAGAGGAGGTTACTCACCCTGTGCAGTAACTGATAGTCTTGGAGGCCAGTATCCCTGTGGGTGCTCCACTACCCACCCTCTCCCCTCTACTTTGGAGTTGGGGTAGCCTTCATTGTAGAGAAGGAACTGAGGAGACCAGTCGCGTATGCGTACTATTAAGGTATGCTCAGAGTGGGGGGGCAAGCTCTGTGCATGCATGACTGGTACGAGTACTGCTGTAAAAATATCCGAGCGAAGGCGCAGGGATGCACCAACACCAGGAGTGGAGCACCCACAGGGACACTCATCTCGAAGAACGTCAGTTACTGCAGAGGTTGAGTAACCTCCTCGTCTGTGCTCATACTGGAAAAGTATATGAGGAAAGGTGGGCATGGTAAGTGTGTTTCTGGTTTATAAATCCAGGATGGGTAGAAGTAAGGTGGGTGTTTGGACTTTAAATGCCAATTTCATGGCTTTCCTGTTTTATTAATGTAGTTTTAAAGAAAAATATACTATCTTGATACTTCCTTAACAGGTTACTTTGCCCACATACATCTCCTCTGCTCTGTCCTACCTGCTTCCAAAACTCTACTCTACAGTTTATCCAAAATGCTGCTGAAAATTCTCTTTCCCCTGTGGCTTTGGCCATGTTACTTCCCTAGTCAAATCCTTCACTAGGTTTTACTCTGTATCAAGTTCTTGGTCCTTGTCCTCATGTTTAAGAGTCCTGCACAGTTTCAGTCCTGTTTACCTTTCTGGTCTCATTTGCTCCAGACTTCCCTCCTGTCTGGACACCCCTCATTGGTGGCATTCGGTCACATTTTTCTTCATACTTTCTTCCATCATGTCCAGGTGATTTTTTCCTGTCAAAACCCCCTTACCATAGTCCAATTCTTTCTCAAAGTGCATTTCTTCTGTGAGGCCATTTAGTGCTGACCCAACTAGTAATAGATGTATAAATAATCATTGTTGTTTAAAAAACCTCCAACCCTAATACAGTCCACTTAACTTGACCACTAACTTACAGAGTGTCTTATTTATATTTGAATTTGCAGTTTGTGTCTAATTTAGAATGTACTCTCAGCAATATGTCTATATATGCATGTGCATATAATGGCATGCATTAGTAACTGTTGTTCTGTTTCAACAGAAAGCGTATCGCAAAGATTTTGAAGAAGGGCTTAAAGGAAAGGCATCACTGGATTTAGACAAGACCCCAGAATTCTTGCATGTACAACATGTCACCAATCTTTTGAAAGGGGTAAAGCAGGTTTTTGTTTTGTTTCTTTGTTATCCTGTAAATAAGCGATAAACAGACTAGCTACAAGCGAATGAGTCATGAACAATTTATGTTAATATTTAGCTGGATAAGAATGTGACTTCATGGATAGAAATCCAGAATCTCAGTGCATCATTGAATTATTAAAACTGCCACTTCCCAACATACTTTAGTTATGTAGTCCACGTGATTTTATATCTGACCAATTCAGATTATTGCAACATGTAATTATTATATATTCGAGATAGTGTTCTCAACAGTATCAATACTTTCTAAAGAATCCTGTAGGAATTTAAAAATTCTAGCATACCCGAGCCAAGAAATTGAGTGTTAAATGTAAGCGAGACTTGAATGAGCTCTCCCCCTGACCTCTAGTGATGAGTTGGGGGAAAAGACTTTAGGAGCAGACCCTGTCTGCATAGACATACCTACTCTGCCTAGGTACCAAGCAGGTGGAATTGCTTTGCCAAAATGATACATTCTGGTAGGCTTTGGGTTACAAATCACTCTAGAATTTGAATGCAGGGGTAATGAAATGTTGTTATAATTATTGTACAAGTAAAGGGCAGCAGACCTGTGCTTGGTGTGCCTTAAACTGAACCTCACTTGCTAAACGGGGTAAGGATGCCGTATACCATTGAGGATGAGAGTGGGTGAGAACAGGAGTTTCAACCTGGTGGTGTGGACTTTGCATAAAGAGTCCTAGACACCATTTCACCTGCCCCTCTCCAGCATCTGAAGACAGAGCTGATTAGACTCAATTGAGAGTCCTTGTGTCTGGTTGGTGATTCCTGGAGCTGACATCACTACTGAGTAGGTCTGGGGCTACGCCTTAGATACTGTGTGGGAACAGTGTTACAGAGAAAGACAACACAGAAACTGCACTGGCAGTGAGGTTCCTCACTACCTGCTGAAATCACTGAGAGCTGAGTTAAGTGGTGGATCCTCAGAACGTGAGATCACAGAGAATGGAACAGAGAGACAGCGGTCAGCGGTGGCAGAGAGACAGTGGCAGCTGTGAGCCAGTTGGGGAGGGGGGCAACAGCAGAGGCATTGCTTAACACCTGAGAATGCACCCCACACTCTGGGTCTTCACTAACCAAGGACAGCCATCTGCGAATGGGCAGCAGAGGGAGGGAGTGGTGTGTTAAGGAACATCAATTTGTTGGACTTTTACACCTCAAGGTGATAAACTGAGGCAAAAGACACTGCCTAATGCACTGTGTGGTGGGTTTTTGCCTATGGTCACATAGTTTTGAATTGTGGTTGTGATGTTTTCCAAAATTAATACTGGGTCCCTTTACCCTTTTAATACAAGTTTTATTTTGTTGTACACGACTCAGTGCTTGCGAGTGGGGAGGTATTGCCTCTTAGAGGTGCCCAGGGGCGATGTTTAGTTTTCCTGGATTACTGGGTGGGAGCTCAAGCCAGTTCTATTTTGTATTGTTAAGAGGAACCCCTAGATATTAAACCCGGCCCTTGTTGTTCCCCACTCCTCCTGACAAAAGGGTTACATAAATGCATTCTTTGTGAAGGCTCCAGGTCTCTGGAACTTGCTCCCTGCTACGGTCTGAAATAGCCCAGATCTGGTGACCTTCTGGGCATGCTACAATAAAAGTCTGTTTGATAGGATTTTGGAAAGGGCTGAAGATACACTTCTCAGAATGACAGGTTTCAGAGTAGCAGCCGTGTTAGTCTGTATTCGCAAAAAGAAAAGGAGTACTTGTGGCACCTTAGAGACTAACAAATTTATTTGAGCATAAGATTTTGTGAGCTACAGCTCACTTCATCTTCATTTCACTTCACTTCTCAGAATGATGAAGGGATGGAAAGGAGGGTTTGGGTAGCTGACAGGCTGGCAGAATTCCCTTTGAATAATTGTTTTAATGCTGTTGAAGTTCTGTTCCAGTTTTAATTATGCATTAGGGTACCAAGAGCTTTGCATAGCTGGCTTTTTAATATTACTTAAATCAAAATAATTGTTATATCCAACACACATGAAGGGAGCAAAGTAAAGCAAATAAAAATCCATAATATGGCTCTGACCAATAAATGACATGGTCTGCTGTCAAGGTTCCTCCCCACTCTGAACTCTAGGGTACAGATGTGGGGACCTGCATGGAAAACCTCCTAAGCTTATCTTTACCAGCTTAGGTCAAAAATTCCCCAAGGTACAAAATATTCCACCCGTTGTCCTTCGACTGGCCGCTACCATCACCAAACTAATACTGGTTACTGGGGAAGAGCTGTTTGGACGCGTCCTTCCCCCCAAAATACTTCCCAAAACCTTGCACCCCACTCCCTGGACAAGGTTTGGTAAAAAAGCCTCACCAATTTGCCTAGGTGACTACAGACCCAGACCCTTGGATCTTAAGAACAATGAACAATCCTCCCAACACTTGCACCCCCCCTTTCCTGGGAAATGTTGGATAAAAAGCCTCACCAATTTGCATAGGTGACCACAGACCCAAACCCTTGGATCTGAGAACAATGAAAAAGCATTCAGTTTTTTACAAGAAGACTTTTAATAAAAAATAGAAGTAAATAGAAATAAAGAAATCCCCCCTGTAAAATCAGGATGGTAGATATCTTACAGGGTAATTAGATTCAAAAACATAGAGAACCCCTCTAGGCAAAACCTTAAGTTACAAAAAAGATACACAGACAGAAATAGTTATTCTATTCAGCACAATTCTTTTCTCAGCCATTTAAAGAAATCATAATCTAACACATACCTAGCTAGATTACTTACTAAAAGTTCTACGACTCCATTCCTGTTCTGTCCCTGGCAAAAGCAGCATACAGACAGACACAGACCCTTTGTTTCTCTCCCTCCTCCCAGCTTTTGAAAGTATCTTGTCTCCTCATTGGTCATTTTGGTCAGGTGCCAGCGAGGTTACCTTTAGCTTCTTAACCCTTTACAGGTGAGAGGAACTTTCCCCTGGCCAGGAGGGATTTCAAAGGGGTTTACCCTTCCCTTTATATTTATGACATCTGCGTTATGCATTTCTTGTAAGAAGCTGCCCAATCATTTTCCTTATCACAGCTGTTGCTTTAATATTTGTCTGACTTTCTTCATGTACCATTTCTGAAAGATTAATATGAAATAGTAAATTAAATCTTCCCTCTCAAATAGGAGATTTCTTCTGATATGTTGTAGAAATAAGGGTTTAGGATACCTCTAAAAAGAATTTCTGTGTGGATGCTGTAACATTTTTTTCACGGCTCAAAATCTTCCTACCAAAAGTCCATTCCCTTCTATAATTAGACAGCTTTGTTTTCATATCAGGACAGAGTATTAATTCAGATAAATTCCATATACTGAACATATTCATTTGTCCAGATCAGGGGCGGGTAAACTTTTTGGCCTGAGGGCTGCATTGGGTTTCTGAAATTGTATGGAGGGCCAGTTCGGGGAGGCTTTGCCACCCCAAACAGCCAGGCATGGCCCGACCCCTGCCCCATCCATCCACCCCCACTCTCTGTCCCCTGACCGCCCCCGGACCTGCTGCCCCATCCAACCTCCCTCTCCTTCCTGACTGCCCCCCCCAGACCTCTGCCCCATCCAACCACCCCTTCTCCCTGACTGCCCATGGACACCCCACCCCTAACTGCCCCCCACCGCCTCATCCAACCCCCCCCATTCCTGACTGCCCCCCTGGGACCGCTGCCCCATCCACTACCCCCTGTCCCCTGACTGCCCCCCACTGCCCCATCCAACCCCTCCTCCTCTTCCTGACTGCCCCCTGGGACCCCTGTCCCCATTCAACCCTCCTGTTCCCCACCCTCTGACCACCCCGACCCCTATCCACCCCCCTGGCCCCTGACCACCCCCCAAATTCCCCTGCTCTCTATTCAACCCCGCCCCCTTACCGCGCTGCCTGGAGCACCGGGGGCTGGCAGCACGGCTGCTCTAGGACAGGCAGCCGCGCAGCACAGAGCACTGGGTCAGGCCGGGCTCTGCAGCTGCGCTGCCCAGCAAGAGCTTGCAGCCCCACCACCCAGAGCATTGCGCTGGTGGCGCAGTGAGCTGAGGCTGCGGGGGAGGGAAAACAGTAGGGGAGGGGCCGGGGCTAGCTTCCCGGGCCAGGCGCTCAGGGGCTGGGCAAGACGGTCCCACGGGCCGTAGTTTGCCTACCTCTGGACCAGATTCATCAGTCTATCAGAATTTTTAATTTCACTTCATGTGTATTTAGGAATAAAAAATGTCAAATCTATCCAATATAATCTACATAAATTTGGATTATAACATAAAAGTGTTTAGATTTGTCATATTAAGAATTAACATTTCTACCCAGTCCATTTAAGCAGAATTGAAGATGCCAAAATTAAAAACATGTTCACCCTTCTACTTTTGAAGGGTTCCTGCTTTGATTTTTTTAAAATAACTGAGTAAGTGCATCCCAGATTTTCTATGGGAAAAGAGACAGTCCTATTTGCCTGCAAATTTTCTTAAGAAATCCTGGTCTAAAATAATATGGTGTTGTCAGATAATATTCCTTTACAAACAATTCATCCTCTGGTAAAATGATTTCCTCCCAACAGGTCAAATGCTACTTGAGCTCGGTTCAAGATACAGCTTCCTTTGGCAGCACCATTTTGTGCACTTACGACACACCATGCTTATTATGTCGGCCTACTCCGCAAGGAAATGTCAGTTTGCATTTTTCCTTAATGGAGTGCATTAAATGATTTCCTATCTTTCACCTTTTAAACTCACCCCTCGCCACCAGAGAAATAATTCTTTGTCATAGAGAAGGAGAATATGAGCATTAAAGCAACATTTAGGCACAAGTTTGAGTTCCAGATAATGTTATCCCCACATTATCAAAATTCTATTAAAAAAAATAAAAAAATCCGATAAGCCAAATTATTAACATTTGTTTGTCAAGATGTGAATTCAGGGATATATTGCTTAGTTGTTATGTAAAGGTTCTTATTATGCTTTAAGGAAACACCATGGTTTAAGCAAGTAAGAGAAATCAAAGTTATTTCATGTCTTAAATAGGCAGTAAATTCTTCATTCATTCTGGAATACTTCATTTCTTAAAAAAGGCAATAAAACAATGTGTTTGCTCAGTTGCAGTCTCTTCTGTTGGTGTCTCCTTGTGGAGAGCACTCAGCAGAGATTACATCTATTATTACAGTGAGACCCGCTTTCTGTAGAAACAACTACTTTGGGAGAGAGAGAGAATTTAATTATTCCCCATATTAATGGGAGGATCTTCCTGATTATCATAGATGATCCTGATAATTCACTGATGTTAAAGGGAAGCTTCTTTAATGATAGGTGTGTCCTCTTTTATTTGCCTTAAATAAAGGGCTTATAAAAGGAGAAAGCATTTTGCTAAATTCTGTGAAATTCAGTAAATAAAGGAAGAAACCAGTTGAAAAATATTTGCCTAAAATCTCAGTACTGTATGTCTTTTAACCCACTCACTCTTTTTAAAAGGGAGTTCAGAGAGCGTAAGTAAAAACCTTAAATTTGGATTAAAGCATCTCTTTGCTGCACCCTCATCAGTTCACATCTTTCATCTGGGAATACAGGAGAGGATGGAGAACCAGCTGGCCACAGCAGCCTTTGCTGTGCTTTTAATTTTACATAGAGTACTTGGATACTATGGCGATAGTAGTTGCTAAATGCTGATAGATACTATCTCAGTGCAGTGTCTGAGGGAAATTGAAGTCAGATGGTGGGAGTATTGTGGAACATAATTTATCAGATAGGCAGGTTACCAGCTCTTACTATAGTTATTTAGGGCATCTATCCTAATTGTGGTGCCATTAGTAGAATGGAGCTGAAAATGTAGCTTGCTAGCCACCAATCTATCAAAGCTGCTGTCCACAGGAAAGCCCACAAAGCAACGGTCATTGCAATTAATACATATGAAGATCTACAATCCAAGGCCCTTATACAGATGAGGTAGTACTGTATAGGGGTGGAATGTTTTTCAAGAGCACACAGCAAAAGACAAGGCTAAATTTAAAACCTTTTTCACTTTCACAACATACCTTTTGATTTGATAATTTCCAGTTATGTTTTAACTAGGATAAATGTACTTCAGCTAATTCATATTTCATAGAAAATTTCAAAGAAAAGCTTCAAGTACTTATTAAGAGACATATCTTTTTAAGATCTTGCACACACAATTAAAGTGGAGATTTTTTTTTAAAATCCTTAGAAAGAGTATAGAAAAGATTTGGAAGAAGGGATGAAAGGAAAAGGACTGACAGTGTTTGAAGATACTCCGGATTTGATTAGAGTGAAAAATGCAGCCCAGATACTGAATGAGGTATGTTTTGCTAGTGAAGGTTGTTACTGTAGAGGAAAGTTCAATCTTTACAGTGCACGCTTGGGAAAATATTCTAAGTTTTTGCATAATTTAAATGGAAATACTGTATATATTTAAACTAGTGGAACCTATATTTTGCAGAAAGAATATAGAAAAGATCTGGAAAATGAAATAAAGGGGAAAGGAATGACACTGACTCCAGATATCCCTGACATTCAGAGAGCAAAAAGAGCATCTGAAATTGTTAGTGAGGTTAGTGGATAAAGCATTTTAAAATATTGGGGTTTTTCTCAGTTTATTGGTTGCTTCAGTTAGTGAAAACTAACTAGTCTCTGCTCTATTGAAAAGAAAGATGAATATGGTTTAATGGGCTTTTAAAGAAACACTTGCTGAAGATTTTAAAAAAATCTTGTATATTAAACATTCCATTTTTTGGAAATGGATATTGGTGCATATTGGCAAACATCTTGCAATTTACATTTATATAAATGATTAAATATATATTTGTGAAAGTTTCTTCCCAAATGCAAAGCTGTTGCTGAAGGACCATTGTTGCTTGGACCTTGAACCTGCAATTTATTCTATGCTCATGGATGGTGAAGGGGTCTGCCTGCACAGAGCACATTTCAGGATCTGGGCCTTCATGCTTACAGTGCTGGCCCAAGTGCACATGGCAGTTCCCTAACACCAAATTCTGGGCTTACCACCAGATCATGTACATTTAAATCCACTTGAAGCCCTGATTCTGTCGATGGCCTCCTGGGAAATGGAACATCTGTTGTGACCAGAGTGAGTGTAGGTGCATAGGGCCTGCCCTGCTTGCTTCAAGTTAATGAGGATACACATAACACCCAGTACTGTCCTTCTCTCAGTCTTTTACAAAGGGGAATCCAAGAAGAAACCTCTCCCAGTCCATCCTCAACAGGAGAGGAAAAGCAATCTTAACACTTTTTACAGGTTATCTTGTCCTTTCTGAAAAAAAGCATGGGGTGGGAAATGGGGTATGTTACCACTAGGCTGATCAATTTCTTCCAAGGAAAAAGAGATAGAGAAGTGAAAGCCTTTTAGCCTAGGCTCTTGGTGCCCTACAATATAAGAGATGAACACTTCTTAATTAATTGAGCCATAAAACTTGGGCAAGAAAAGAAAGAAAATGTATTTATTTTTGAGCTGACTATGTTTTCAGTAGGTGAAAGGACACCAAAATAGAAAGGAGTGCTCACTATGGCAATAATGTAAATAGGAATAGCTAAGAGCATAACTTATTTGCTGCTTTTATCAAACAGTAGAACTGAAACCAATATATGCAGTGTCTCAATATTTTAATTGCATTTGCTTATGAATGAGGGATGTGTATTCTTTGGGTGTGATGAAGATGAAATAGTCATTGCCATTTATGATTACCAGATATTTATAATTTATAGAATTGAAAAACCAAAGATCATGTATGTAAGTATTGCCATTTGTCTAATGGGTGTGGTTCAGCAAACACCTTATATCAAATTAGTAAATTACAACTTTCTTGCTACAAGAGCTCACTGGAAACACCTCTGTACCTCATTAAATTTCTACCACAGACCTTTCATATATAAATTATTTTCTTAAAGGCAGATTATACTTCTGTTGGGAAGACACCACACACAGCTTGTTACATTACATTCCACAGAGTTTTTAAAAATTCTTTGGAAGATAGTCACTGCTATTTATATGTCTTGATTTTCAGACCATATTTTTATGGCTGCAGTTTTTAACTTGTGGTGAAATAGCTCTCAAAGTTTTGCTCCTACAGTTTGGTTTCCTGGCGGTTCATTTCAGGCTTAAGGTTGTGTCTACAAAAATGGAGATCTGGTTTGAAAATCTGGCCCATAACTATGTGGTTATAATACACCTGATTGTCTGAAACTGTATCTTCACAGAAAGAATACAAGAAAGACCTGGAGACTGAAATTAAAGGGAGGGGCATGCAAGTGGGCACAGATACCCCCGAGATACAACGGGCCACGAAAGCTTCTGAAATTGCAAGCCAGGTTAGTACAGTATTTGGTGAAAGCTTTTAATTCAACAGAATATAATAAGCTACCTTTATTAAGAATTCTGCTTTGTGACAGATCAGCACAGTAATGAATCAAATGTGTTAGGTTTCACAAAATTTATGGTCATGAGCTGATTAGAGTTCGGAGTGACACATTCCAACTTTTGGGAAAACGTGAGAGTTGCATTAGTTACTAGCATCATCAGCACCATGATCAGGAGCTGCACCTGCTACCTTGACTAGTTTCTGGGCCCTAAAATAGGGCGCTGCTTGTTTGGCTAGGACTAGATGATAAATGGATGCAGAGATAGGGAAAATGCTTAAGGCCCAGCAGCCTTGATCTTGCACAGTGATTCATATCTACACAGGCCTCCAATCAGGACTATGAAAATAGAAGAGAGAGACTGAGATAAAAGACTGCATGCAATTTTAGATAACTGTATTCTTAAAAGGATGTTTTAAGCTGGCAACAAGTAGAGTATAGATATACTGTAGGTAGACCCCACAGAGCGAATGCTGTTAATATAAAAGCCATTTGGTGTTATAAGGATTCTATTCAACGAAGCCACACAGATGAAAGCAGGATCCATATAAAGCTTTAGCTGTTGTACATCTGAGTATTGCCAATCTTATTCTTCACAGAAAGAATACAAGAAAGACCTAGAGACTGAAATTAAAGGGAAGGGGATGCGAGTGGGCACGGATACCCCTGAGATACAAAGAGCCAAGAAAGCTTCTAAAATTGCAAGCCAGGTGGGTACAGAATGAAACATATACGTTATATTTAAAGTAAAATACAATAAGACTTCTAAATATATGTAACTTTAGCGCCCTTGTGGGCAAGATGGACTCTGCTCTGGCCAAGAGAAGGCATGCACAGGAATGCAGTTGGGAAAGTCCCTTCCACCCCAGGGGCACCTGTTCCAAACCTCCCAGAGTGAACACACCCTCACTGGAAAAGTACAACGAATATAGGAAAGGGAAATATTTATTTACAGAGGGATGAGAGGAGAAAAACAACGGGGGAAATATAGGGCGAGCAGTGAAACAAGGTTGCAATCAACTCAAGGCCCCACAGGCCCAGCGGTAGCACAGTTTGAAACGGCAGACACCCAACAATGTGTGTGCACACAGAGTTCAGGAGTCCTGGACAAAGTTCCAGTCCAGTGGTGAGTCTTGGGTGCTCCCAGTCATCGTCCGCACCAGTGAACTTTCCTCAACAAACCCCTCTGGTGCCCTCATCTGCCACTCTCTGCAAAGCCACTCAGGGCATCAACCTCCCCTCTTAACTAGCTAACAGCCTCCCTCCTTATTCCCAATGCAAAGTCACAAGCTCCAGTACTCACAGTCCCATGCAGCTCTGGGCAGTAGTGATACTCGGTCCGGCTCCAATTTGTCCTTCTCGGGTGATTCCTCCCTGGCACAGTGCTCCTCCTGGCTCCTATCCTGGGGTGTCCCCAGTTGGCTGCTCTGACCCTCCCAGGCTTCAGGCAGGCAGGTTCTTGGCTCCTTCTCTCGTGAGGGCCAGCTTTCTGCAGCCCTTCTGTCTGGAGCTCCAGACACACACATGTCATTCTCCCTTCTCTCTCTTTCTCTCTGTTGCTCCCTCTCCCGGAACAGCACTTCCTCCTTCTGGAACAATCAGCACTTCCCCCCCGCCCCGGGAAAAAAATTTAAAGGGGTCATGTTCTCTAAACCCCAAAAGGGTTTCTCACACACACACACACATATATATAAGTCATGTTGAAAGTTGACTGAACTAAGCATAGCTTGCAAAAAAACCAACGATTAGATTGCTCAGTTACAGCCTATTGTTTGGAATCCAATGAGTGTTACAAGAATAGCTCTGAAGATAGCACACAGATTACAGGAGCTACAGAACCTACACTAAAGGTTAGGAGTATTGTAGATCTCAGAATTATTGAAGTTATGGGCTTTTGCAGAAAGAATACAAGAAAGATCTGGAGACTGAAATTAAAGGGAAGGGGATGCAAGTGGGCACAGATACTCCTGAGATACAACGGGCCAAAAGAGCTTCTGAAATTGCAAGCCAGGTGAGTATAGAATGAAGGTTAATTAAGTGTTTTCATGTCTCATAAGAGTGCCCTAGGCACACATTATGCAGTGCATGCTGCATTACCTCTTATTAATTAGAGGAATCCATACTAATATTAAATATATTTACATGTGGAAGCCACAAGTGGAACTAAAGTTTTAGGGCCTGATTTTCATTTACACTAAGTGCTTGTCTACACTTAAAACACTGCAGCTGCACTGCTGTCGTGTTTCAGTGAAGACATTAGCTATGCCCGTGGGAGGGGTTCTCCCATCAGCGTAGGTACTCCACCCTCCAAGAGGTGGAAGCTAGGTCAACAGGAAAATTCTCCTATCCACCTAGAGCTGTCTACACTGGGGGTTAGGTTGGTTTAACTGCATTGCTTAGAGGTGTGGATTTTTCACACCCCCTAAGCGACCTAGTTATACCAACCTAATTTCCTAGAGTAGACTAGGCCTAAGGCTCCTTTACACGACTCTGGCAGGGTAAAGGAGCTGTTAATTGGGACTAAATTGTTTACAATCCTTTTAACGCGCTTTTACGTTATCAGAGTGAATACACATTTTGGATGTTCTAGCCATAAGCAGAGATGATATGCACATGGTAAAATGGTGTTTTTCAGAAAATGTACAAAGATGAAGCAGGGAAGATGCTCTGTAACTACTGTACCATACCAGATACTCCAGAAATTGAGAGGATTAAGAATACTCAGAAAAACATCAGTTCAGTGAGTAGCAGCAGTTCTACTTTTAGAAGTGATTTTTCACATATGTTCAGTGTGAAATGAGCTCTCTTGTGTCCTGGCATAAAATGGGAGTATTCAATTAATTGTCCTTCAACCATATGCATAGTTTTGCAATGGCAAAGACCATACCCCTATTTCTTTTAGAAAGAACACCTGTCTTTGCTAGACTTAACACTAATATTTTGAATTACTAAATCACCAGTGCTACCCTCACCAAGACAATTATTTTTAACCTAAGATTTTTTTTTATCAACCCCTGAAGATAGCTTTATTACAAACTGTGTATAAAAAGGAGCAGAAACCTGGAGTGGCACCATTGTAAGTATAAGTTTTGTCATATGGTTGTGGTCTAAAACTAGAAGAAACCCTGTTACAAAATACATTCGACTTAAAAATATTAGTTCAATGGTTTTATGTTACATTGGACAAGAGATGGGATTTTACTTTATGCTAGATCCAAGTTTTAGTTGAAAGAGGCAACATAAAGCCATGATCTTGCAGATGCTTATTTTTGTGAGTCTTTCCATTGATTTCCATTGAGATTACTTGAACTTAATGTTACATGTGTAAGCATGTGCAGATTCTGGTCTAAAATCTCTTATTATTATTATTATTAAAATGATCAATACAAAACCTGTAAGAAATTGAGATCAAAAGGATGATGATAGATTACCTGCCTTATCTGTGGAAGTTAAAAGGTAAAGAAAGATAGCTGACCTTTTATTAATGTTAGTGATAATTGAGCTGATCTTTGAAAAATTAAAATATTTGCTTTTCCTGAGTTATAGTCAAACAAGGTTAGAACTTGGAAAGTTGCCTCAGTCTTTTTTATGAGAACTGGTGCTTGCATTCATAAGTGTCTCATAATTATTTTTTTCTTTTTGTATATGAAGGTGTTTTATAAGAAGGGAGTAGGCTCTGGCACAGCAGTCAAAGAGACTCCTGAGATTGAACGAGTAAAGAAAAATCAGCAGAATATTAGTTCAGTAAGTGTTAGCAACATTATCTGTCCTTCCCCAGAGCAAAGAGTGGTCAATTTTTTTTTCATTTTGTTTATTATAAATATTACCTTTTCCTATCTTTCACCTTATTCAAATGCTACTCCATCAGATTTCCCAGATTTAAGGCTCTACATTAACATACTATCGGGGCTACACGACTCCAAAAGTAATGTTTAATTTGGATGTGTCATCACTAATGGGAAATAGATCTTTTTAAAATTAAATATATGATGACAGGATTTCATCTTTCAAAAAAACCCAAACACCTTAACCATATTCGCTATTGCTGACTTAGAATAAATTCCAGCTACAACCTGCAACTTAGAAAAATGTCTTATTAACGAAACATTTCTCTCCTTAAAAGTTGTTGCAAAGCTCATACCCTTTAGCTGGTTGTTTGGTACACTAAGCCAGAAGAGGCTTTGGGAGAAAACTGAGCATTTATGGCCTGTTGAAGACAAGTTGTACATGTGGAGCTGATGAGATTGGTCCTTTAAATGAGATTGTTTAGCTATGGCTGCTTGAGAATCTTAGGCATGCCAACCACCATTTGAAAGTCAGCTATCAAAATAGCAGCTTCTTAGAAACAGGATGTACTCTTCAGTTAGAAGTTTAAAAATGTGGTAATTTGGAGAAAGATTTGAGGTCAGCTATCACCAAATAAGAAAAGGCAAGTGTATCGTACATGTTTCAGAGTAGCAGCCATGTTAGTCTGTGTTCACAAAAAGAAAAGGAGTACTTGTGGCACCTTAGAGACTAACCAATTTATTTGAGCATAAGCTTTCGTGAGCTACAGCTTATGCTCAAATAAATTTGTTTGTATCCTACATGTGTCTGCATTTTTGCACACTGACCGCTGGGCTCACTCTTAAAAATGTGGTCAATTACATGACATCTCTCGCAACTGAACACTTCTTTATGAAAAGCAAACTGTTGCAAGTAATAGTCATAGCAGGAGGTATGGTACTTTTTATATCTGCTTCTCATAGGAAATAGGGTATTTTTTAACATCTATTGTTCTAGAATTTCAGTCTTTACTGATCACAGGGTCAGCTGTTTACTGTGCCCTCCCCCCGTGGCCAGAGATCACTCTGCAGCACTCAGCTTCTGTTTCCCCTCTTGGTTCCTGTGACACCTCCCAGGGGTACCCTTGCTATCACCTGCCCCTAGCATGAGGAACCCTTGTCTGTGGCTGCTGTGGGTCAGCTCTCCAACTCCACCAGCCTCAGGCAACACAAGCACTCCCCTTTAGGCCTGGCAGGCCCAGCTGTCTCTCTGCAAGTAGTGGTAGGCACACTCCACCGTCTGCCTGGAATCTCCAGCTCCATGTCCACTGGACATTCACAATATTCACAGATCTGCTGCCCCCAAAGAAGCAGTAAACATCAGCTTGCTAGGTTCACCTCAGATCACTGCTCTGCTTAACACATAGCACTTGAATCTGTGTATAGTGAAAACAAACAAAAGCTATTTAACAAAGAGAAGAGATTCAAACGATAGCAAGTAGAAATATTGGAAACAAATGGTTACATATAAAATCAAATCATAACATGCATTCTAGAACCTAGACTTATATAACTAGGTACTTTCATGTGATATTGAGCAAAGTTCACCCCAAAGTCCTTCCAGTGTTTTTCAGCCAGGCCTGGCCATGATCCTTCTTTCCTGAGACAAAACACACTGCCAGCTTGTCCCCTAGGTAAAGTGCACTGTATATCTCTTTGCAGCCCTGGTATATCAAAACAGTCCTTTCATCTGTATTAATAAACTGGACATTCTCCAGCTGTGTGTTACTTCCTATAGATTTTGCAATCTCCTGTTGATTTTGCAGTCTTGATTAGCTGGTGGCTCAGTATGCAAATAGACTTACATCATGAGACACACAATACACAATGACCAGTCAGAGAGATAAGCATCTAATATACCCCGCCTAAACAGAACCTGTTCGAGGTATGTCACCTCCCTTAAACTTCAAGGCTTTAAGAACATAATTTTCAGTATAGATACATAAGTTCTTAAATGTTATCTGTACCTACATTTTACAAGGGTTACAATAACCAGTGAGCTATTGGCTGTCGGGAAAGACCTTACCTGACACCATAGGGTGAATTATTGCGCATACACTTGACCCAGGGCATCCCTGTAAAACTCTATGTCCCGCTGTGCCCTCTGCTAGTTGGCATAAAGAGGTTCCTTGGTCACAGTTCCTCAGTAACTCAAAAATACAACCCAAAATCATTTAAAACACTTCTCTTCTGGGGGGTCCAATTTATTCAACCCTCAGGGTACATGCTGGCCCTCAAAGCCCCACTTCAGGGTTTCTGTCTCTTATTCCTGAAGCTTGTTCCAAATTCAGCAGTCACTCCCAGGCTTTTCCTGGCTGGAGTTCAGCCTCCTGGATCTGACTTTTCAATTTCCCTGCTGTCATGGTCATCTCTGCAGGAGCCTTTCTCCCCTTCACTGCAGCTTCCTGCTGCCCTTAATAGGGGGTATCTGCTGTCTTCCATCAGGCCCCACCCAGCCGTTAATGCTGCAAAGGTGGGCTGGAGCAATTCCTTCAGTAATTTGGGTTGGCTGTCCCCAAGCATCCAGCCCATCACCCTGTTATACTGATATAGTAGGCAACACCAAATACTACATTACATAGAAATGTAAGAGCAGGTAGGCAATTTTCATTTATTTTTGGAAAATTTATATTTTCCTGTGACTTTTTTTTTCTTCATCACATCTCATCTAACTTTGATTTGTGTAGTTAAGATTCTGATGCAGGCCATTGGGTGCTATCCTAACCAGCTAAGGCAGACTAGGGGGGGATATGCTGGTTATTGTAGGGGATTCTATCACTTCCACCACCCTCAAGATGGCGCACCCCATGGAAAGCAGCCTTTAAATTAGCCAATGCCATGGGGTTCATCTTTCACACTGGACTTGGCCAAACAGCCCAGGGCTGCCACATGAGCCCTGTGCTGGGTTCCGTAAGATCTGATCCCACCCATGTGAACCAGGAATCCGAATGATTACTGTTTAGAAAAATAATAAATATGATTATTCTTTAAAATTTTGGAGTTCCAATATGTAATATGGCTATGTAAGGTCTAATTGTGCATTACCCATAGGAGAAGGATTACAAAATGTTTGTTGGGCTTTTCTAGGTCTCCTTTAAGTTAGTAACTATTTTTTAAATATCCATTGTTCAGATAAAATACAAAGAAGAAATGAAGCATGCCACAGCAATTTCGGATCCCCCAGAAATAAGGAGAGTTAAGGAAAACCAGAAGAATATTAGCAATGTGCGACCCTTATTCATTACTTTCATTATACTGTATTTTCTCTGTTTTATTGAATGTCTTGGTTCTAAGTGAATAAATCCATGATGTTTGCATTAATTCTACTTTGTCAAAAAGACTATTTAACGATTTAACTATATAATCTTCTCTCAGTGTTGAGCTTTGATTAACGTTAATGGGAATTACCTACTCATATCAAAATAACATCATACACTTGATATGTGAATTTGAGAATTTGCAAAATGATCAGGATTAAGTACCATTTGGATAGAAGTGTGTGTTCATTGATTAATGATATTTTCTAGTAAATTGCTTTACATTATTCTTTAATTTCTATTAACAGAGCACAATACTTTTGTTACTTGGAGCTCTCTGTATAATTTCTAATACCCTGTTTACCAGGTTCAGTACAAAGAGCAGCGTTGCAAAGCTACACCGGTGACTGTCACCCCTGAGATGGAAAGAGTCAAGAAGAATCAAGAAATTGTCAGCTTGGGAAGTTGCTTTAATTTTTAATTTAATTTAATTTTTTCCCTCACATAATCATCTGATCTATAGATTTCTACAAAACAATTAAGTGTGGACTCCAATTAATCCCTCCTTTGTCCTCCTTCCTCCCCCTCAAAAAGCTGCCCCAAACTGGTATCCAATGACAAAAAAGACCACCTCAAAATTCTACTGCTGGGCAGAAAGATGCGTAAAGCAGGGCATTTAGTTAGCATACTTCACCATCCTCACATTCCTGAAGCACTGTTTTCATCCTTTCTGATCTGCCTTCAAAGACAAGCTGGCCACCCTGCTCAGCTGGACTCCCAAAGGGAGTGTGACATAACGGAGCTGCTCATGCAGTGGGATTCCCACCCAGAGATTTTGAGGGTTAGAGCCAACTAAATCAAAGGTGACTGCAGCAAAGGCAATGAGGAAATGTGAGTGTGTTTGGCTCCAATTTCCCTCCATTTATACCATTAGCCAAAGTATCCATCCTCACCTTCTAGAAGTTAGCTGATTTCATAGATTCATAGATTTTAAGACCAGAAGGGACTGTTTTGATCCTCTGGTCTGACCTCCTGCATAACACAAGACAAAGAACCTCACACAGGTATTTCTGCATCAAGCCCATAACTTCTCTTTGATCATATCTTTGATCATCAGGGCATATCTTTTAGTCAGGCAACCAGTCTTCAGTTAAAGATTTCAAGTGACAGAAAATCCACCACATCCATATATAAATTGTTGTTATATATATGGTTAGTAGCTCTCTCTGTTAAAAATCTGTGCCTTATTTCTAGTCTGAATGTATCTAGCTTCATCTTCCAACCATTAGATCTTCTTATACTTTTTTCTACTAGATTAAAGAGCTGTCTGTTATCAGAAATATCTTCCCTGTGTGTAGGTACTTGTAGCCTATGATCAAGTCACTTCTAACCTTTTCTTGGATAAACTAAATAGATTTATCTTCTTTAGTCTCTTGCTATTATTTTTTGATTTCCAATCATTCTTGTAGCACTTTTCTGAACCCTTTTCAGGTTTTCAACATCCTTTTTGAAGTGTGATCACCAGATATAGTATTTTACTAATGCTGTATACAGAAGTAAACTGCCTTCCTAATCCAACTTGATTTCCCCCTACTTATATATCTAAGGATCAATGCCATTTCATTATGGCATTGCTCTAGGTGCTCATGTTCAGCTGGTTATCTATCATGACCCCTATGTCATTTTTAGAATACCTGCTTTCCAATTTACAGCTCCCCCATCTGGAACACTCTTTGTTCCTAGATGTATGACCATGTATTTGGTTGTGTTAAAATGAACATTATTCAAATTAGATCTTACCAAATGATCCAGGTCAGTCTGTACAACTGACTTGTCCACATCATTGTTCACCATTCCACCATTTTGTGTGTAATATGCAGATTTAATCAGTAATGATTTTATATTTTCTTCCAGATCTTTGGTAATAAAAGTATTGAACAGCTTTGGGCCAAGAACAGGTTCCCTAAGGACCACAGTAGAAACATCCCCATTGGATGATGAATCCCCATTTACAATTATTTTTTGCGATTTCTCTGTTAATCGGTTTTTAATTCATTTAATATAGGCTACATTGATTTTGTATAGTGCTAATATTTTTTATCAGAATGTCATCTAGGACTAAATCACATACCTTACAGAAGTATAAGTATATTATATCAAAACAGTTACCTTTATCAACCAAATCTGTGATCTCATCAAAAAATAATAAGTTTGTTTGGCAAACCTGTTTTCTATAAATCCATGCTGATTGGCATTAATTATTCTACCAAGTTTTAATTCTTTACTGATTGTGTTGCACATCATCTTCACCATGATTTTGCCCAGGGTTGATATCAGGCTAACTAGCCTATAGTTTCTCAGGTCACCCTGTTTGCCCCTTTTGCACATTGGTACACCACTGAACATGCATGAGTTTAATGCATTACCTTTAGATGTGTACTTACTTTAATTAAAAAAATGCAACATGCATTTAAATAGACGTGTGATTTTGACAATTGATTTAAATTCTCTGTTCCCTTGTGCTCTCTGTCATACTCCCCTGTGTACTCCATAACCCCTGGATAATCAGCAATGGAAATAGTGAATACAATTTGGAACATGGATGTATCCTTTATGTGATCTATGGGTTCGTTGGTTTGGGTTTTTTTTATACAGTGGGTGCCATTAAAATCTTGACAATTACCACTTGCTCTAATTGAATGTTCTGCAGTATTTGTGGTATGCCCCATTCTAAGTGGAGGGAGTACCATAAATACGGTAAACTTTAGTATGGTAAATGCCAAGTTATTAATTGGTGTACAGAGTGTTTCTGTGTGTATGTACACACAAGTACATAAATAATAAAAATCCATAGGAAGAATTCAAGGTTATTTTTCAAGAATCAAGTTTTATAAGCCTTAATAAATTTCAAATGCAGTTTATCCTTTGATTTGTTTCCCGGATGATCTTTTAAATCATGTTTTAATGTAATGTAACATCATTTTATTGAAATTGTATATACCATTTTTATTATGTGAAATAATAGGTTCACTATAAAGGGCAGCCTGCCAAAGCTACTTCTGTGAGTGTCACTCCTGAGATGGAGAGAGTCAAGAAGAATCAAGACAATATCAGCTCGGCAAGTTGTTTGAATCTTTTTGCTGTTTATTTTCATAACAATGGTATGCTTTTCAATTTAGATTTGATGTGATAAATGCATCCCATTGCATCATTCGTTTGAAGGTGAATTCTTAATCTTTGAAAATATATACTGCACGTACCACCAGGGGCAACAAAATTACCCATGCTTCCCATAATTACTATTACACAAAACGTAAGTGGATATCTGGGGCAGTGCTATACAAGGAGAAAGTTGTCCTATGTCAATCTGAATTCTGTTTGAGTAATCTTAGTCTCTTGTTACCAAGCTTCAGAAGTAAACTTAGTCATAGAATCTCAGGGTTAGAAGGGACCTCAGGAGGTCATCTAGTCCAACCCCCTGTTCAAAGCAGGACCAGTCCCCAATTTTTGCCTTAGATCCCTAAATGGCCCCCACAGGGATTGAACTCACAATCCTGGGTTTAGCAGGCCAATGCTCAGACCACTGAGCTATCCGTTCCCCAAGGGTAAAGAAAAAAAAGAATGAGAATTCTAAACTCAGTGCAAGTTCAGCTTTTTGTGATTCAAACCATGGAAACTTGAACATGGGTTTCTGTTCCATGTTGCATTGTGTTGTGCTTTGTCCATATCAGAGATGACTGGTCCAAAAGGGATCCTATTGCCTTAATATCAATGAGTAAGGCTGTATATTTGTCTTGAATTTCATGATTCATTATGTTCAAGTTTTTTTGTTTCTGTTTTTAACTGGCCATTAACTTTTTTATCATTATGAAGTTTTCTAAGTGTTTGAGAGAACAGATGAATGAGTAAACATTTGAATAAACTTTAGATGAGGCTATTAGAGAGCAGGGAATTAGCCAAAGTGGCATAGAGACAGAAACAACCAGTCAGGCAACTTGCAGGGAACAAGGCAACAAGCACCAGAACACAAGGGGTGAAATCCTGGCCCCAAAGACATCAGTGGCAGAACTCTAATTAACTTCACGGATGTCAGGATTTCATCTAGAGCAGGTATTGGACAAGAGGTGATAGTAAAGAACATCCTAAAACTTAGATAGTGTTTATCGGAGAAAGAGTAAAGGAGGTTGGGTCTGTCAGAGAGACTACGTAAGAGGCAAAGGAACAATAACTGTTGATCCAAGTGTCCACAAGATGCCCTTAAAATGTAAGAACAAATGTAATTTAGATACCTGGTTCTGAAATATTTAATTTCTTTATCACAAAAATGTACTCGTGAGTTTTAATTATTTTTATCATTATTCCTGCAAACTAAGATATTTTTACAAAGACTTCCCCAAAATTGCCTTGTTAAATGCTCAGCCATACTAATGAGCAGTGGCTCAGAGATGTAATGAAATGCACTGGCAGTAATTATATGATGCAAGATAAATATGTTGGTATCAAGAAAGACAGTTACACTTCAAATTTTTATTGTATACTTGTTAAAGCACATTTATTTAAAAAAACCATGGCGTAATAAATCTTTGGAGACTATGCTGTAGTTTATACTGTGGATTGCTCAAGGATTATTAAACAGACATAAAATACTAAATTCATTTATCTGCTGAATAGTTGGGCTTATATTTTATTATCCTCTCAGTATAAAAGCATATTATAATAGATTTGTACACATGCTTTGAGAGGAGATACCTTTGAGTGTAAGTGCATGGATATATCTAACATGATATATATTTGCGTGCAATCTGCATGTTATGGTTCAGAAATGAAGACTAAGATGAGTGTGTCCATTAGTGAAAGTACTCCAGTCTACTGGAATGACACAGAAGTCTATGCTAATTGACTCCCTCTTTCCAACTAGAAACAGTTACATTTGCTGTATTAAAAACTTGACAATTGCTATTTGCAAGTAATTAATGTTACTGTGGTATCCCTGGCATTCAGTATGCTATGTATATAGAATACCACAGCAATATTAATTAGGCACAAGGTAACATTGTAGATAGTAATGGCGACTGATGCACACGCAACACATAGGGCATAAATGCTCATTCTCTAAATGTACCAAGATGATCCTCAGATGTGTTGCAGCCATTTTGCACCTGCACGTCTGGCAAAGTCTGGGCATAGAACTGGCATATGCAGCCCCGAGAGGATCTCCTGAATATAAGGGGATCAATTCTCTGGTTCTTACACCATGCTCTATCCCTGCTGGAGGAAAGATATAGGAATTATCTCGGGAAGATCTGGTAGTTCAGTCTCCATATTCAGTTCTGAGCACAAACGCTAATACTTTTAAGAGAGCCAGTTATGATGGTATTTTTTGTAATGTTCACTTTGACTAGTAAGAAGTTAGTCATGACCTATTTCACATATGCCACTGAACAGTCAAGAAGTTTGACTTTCAGGCACTACTGACTTTTTGAATGAGTGGCCAATGGAATGAATGTGTCCATTTGCCATTTCAAGTCCCCTGCTCTATCTGCAGGCTAGATTTAAAAAACAAACAAACAACAGCTGTGAAAGAGGAGGGAATGGAAAAAGTATAAAATGATTTGGAAATGCCATTATTGTGAGGCTTCATATTTGCTGTGTCTTTCAATGTAAATGAATGCTTCATGCGTACTGTCGTTGCTGTTTTGCAGGTCAAGTACAGCAGTGATCAGAAGCAGATGAAAGGTAGACCTAGTGTGATTCTTGACACACCTGAGCTAAGGCATGTCAGAAAAACACAAAACAACATCTCAATGGTAGGGTACATTCTTCAAATAACTAGACTATACTAAGGAATGACACTTGACTGTACATTGGCGTTTACCCGTCATTAATCTAGGTAACTAATTAAACACTGTACTAAAGTATGGAAACTGTTTTCTCTTATGCCATTCAAGGGAGAGAGGGGTTGCTAACTGCATATGAATGTAATGAATATTGTCAAAATACTAATAAATGGCTTTCTAACAGTTGATTGTCTGGCTTTTAAAAAAAAAATTCAGGCTGTTCCTCACTGTTTGAGCATCCCACAGTTTGACTGGATTAGGTGACACACACCACTTTGTGCCTGTGCATGTTCCTGGATTGTGTGTGACTTGAGTCTTGAAATTAATTGTGTTGAGTGTGTGTGTGTGTATGTGTGTATATACATATTAAAAACATCACTGATTAATAGTCTTTTTAAAAAATAAAATAATGCATAATCGGGGATACTGCCTTTATAACACTTACTCATATCAGTTTTGTTCCAAGGGTTGGTATGTAATATTTTTTCTACTCTTCTGTCCCTTTTTGGAAAGCAGGCTGCATAGGAACAGCTTAATTGCCCATAATTTCTATCTTTATACAACCAACTGGTGCTTAACAAGAAAAGTCAGAGGAGGGAGTATATCTTTTATATAAAACTGTGCATGTCAGCAAAATTCCTAATGAATTAAATTACTTTTTAAAAGATCCTTAAGAACTCTGTCCTAATATCACAGGGATGTTTGCATGGTTAGATATATCGGTCAGCATCATTGCGTGAAGACGCTCAGGAGCTTGAGTTAATGCATGATGGAAAGAGTAGTGCTGTTTTTTTTTTAAATGGTAACAAGTATGTAATGAAAGCATATCAAGGAGATGGACTGGACCACCAGTCAGGTCTTTTCCATCTCTTGTTTCTATGATATTATTATGGTGCAAAAATCAAGGAATAAAATTGCTCATTATGAAATAGTGCTTGCTAATTTTAGCGTAATTCAGATGGGTTAATATCAGTCACTGCTGGGGGTAAAAACATTCCTATTCTTTTCCAGGTGAAATATCATGAAGATTTTGAGAAGACAAAGGGCAGAGGTTTTACACCAGTGGTGGATGATCCTGTGACAGAACGGGTGAGAAAAAACACCCAGGTTGTGAGTGATGCTGCATATAAGGGAGTGCATCCACATATAGTTGAAATGGATAGAAGACCAGGAATAATTGTTGGTAAGTTGTTAAATAATGTTGCTGTCCAGAGATCTGTGTGAAGATAAAAGGCTCTGCTTCTCCTTCTCCTTATAACCAAGAAAAATATCCCCTTTTTTCATTTTACTTGCCTCCCATTGTGATGATGGTGTTAAATATCATTAGCTTACCTTATTAGTCACTATACACTCTTCCTCAATTCATTATTTTGTGAGTTTTTTTTCTTTTAAATTAAAATTAAGGGTCAGAATTGGGGTTTCAGAGAATAATTGTCAGGCAGAATGGGTAATTGTAATCAACCTTATCAGCTTCAAAGTAATGAGAACATTAAGTAATCAAATGTTAAAATGAAAAACTAGATACTAGCTTTACAAAGCCATAAGAAGAGGAAAATTGCAGAGTAATATAAAAGGTATTCTAATCACTACATCTAACTACAAAGAGTAAATTATTATATTTGAGACTTTATCATATTTAATGCAAATAAATAATCCAGTAGAAAACTGCTATTGACAGTCTGCTGTAGGTTAGCCCTGAGAGAATTCAGCTTCACCCTTGGAACGCATGGGGAGGCAGTCATTTGTTTTAAGGTATAAATTCTATTTTTTTATTTAGAAGTAGAACCACCTCTCCTATGAATTCAAATAGTAGTCAATGCTTTCATTCCTAGTCTGCATTTTCCAGTGTGAAACTTGTACTGAAGTATCAGTACAATGGCAGCTTCTAATTAAATCATTAATATTATGCAAAAAGAAAAGGAGTACTTGTCACACCTTAGAAACTAAAGTGAGCTGTAGCTCACAAAAGCTTATGCTCAAATAAATTGGTTAGTCTCTAAGGTGCCACAAGTACTCCTCTTCTTTTTGCGAATACAGACTAACACGGCTGCTACTCTGAAACCTATTAATATTATGAAGATCTGAAACAGTAAGGTATTTCTAGAAGCTGGAGGGATATGTTCTCATTTGCTACCTAACTTTGTAAGATGCTATAAATAGTCAATGCAGTTTTTCTTTAACTTGAACATTGATGTAACTGGCATCACTGTTCAAGAGAGATCTAGGGCTACAGTGTTCTTCAGTTTGAATAAATGTGTATCCCTCTAACGCAATGGTTCTCCAAGATTTAAATTCTGCAGATCAGTTCATAAGGAAAGGACCCCCTTCATCAATCACCTCCCCTCCCTACCTATAATGTCTTGGGAATGCTGCATAAGAGTGGTACACTTGGTCCTAGCATTTTGCACTATTCTGACAACATCTCATTCTCTGGCTTGCCAGTAGCTCTTCAGGTAGGCCACAGCTCAAGAACAGCTGCTCTAAAGGATTGTTCAGGTTAAGGCCATAAGTGGTCAGAGAGAAGGAAATGGACACAGTAGCTCTCTGGGCCATAACATTTTGAAGTTTTAAGTTCAGCTGGGCTCTCTGAATTTTCATATCAACTAATATTTGCTCAAACTGAAAAAAGAAAATCTAAATCCTAAAAGTTAGCAAAAATATAATGAGAAAGGGGAAGAGAACCTTGCTTTATTCATTTTTCTCTTTCTGGTTATCCTATTTTCTCATCTGCTCTGCCTGGCACAAATACAGGCCACAAGAATCCCCAAGATGTTCATTCTAGAGACTTCTTTACCTAATAACAAGGGTAATTTATGATAGAATTGAATGGAGACTAAGAAGACATGGCCTTCTATCATAGAGAATTTTATAACGGGGAGTGACAGAGCTCTACTCAGTGGAAGATAGCTTTCCAGACTGAGAAGGCCTTGCACATCCTGGTACTAGGGCAACACAACCTAGTCAGAGGAATCATTGACCTGCCATGGAGACCCCAAAGCCAGAACAACCACCTGACTTCCAAACCTAGAAGCAAGGTAGTCAGCTAGGAGTAGAAGAGCTCACACATACGTGTGGTTCAAAACATCTTATTCAGCACACGTTTTAAAACCCAGCCAGTGCTGCATTGTAAACTTTATTTTTGTTTTGTGTATGTGTAATTCACTTATGCAACCATGAGTATGACAGAAGGGCTCAGTGGCATGTACTCCAGTCACTCATAACTGAGCTCATCTCTCAGAACATAAACTTCCCCGCTTATAAATAACTTATTGTGAAAAAGTTAGCACTTCTGTACGATTTGTCAAGTAGAAGTCCTTTAATAAAAGAAAAAATAAAGAAACACATCTTTTTTTTCAAAAAGTGAAAGCAAAAAACAACAATTATTTAACAGAAATAGCCCATGACAAACTTGAGAGCTTTACATTTACTAATATTTCAGTTAATGTCTTTCTCAAGTGACCTGCAATCATATAGACTCGCTTAAACAGAATCAAAGAACTCCTTCTTCAGGGGATGTCCTTGGCACCTGGAAAAGATTGCAGGGTCAAAGAAGATACCAGCCATGACTCTCTTTAAGTTAACCCTAACTGATAAATGTTCATTCAGGTAGGGAGTAACACTTCCTTATTAGAACCTATTTGGTGGGCTCTCTAAGTGTAATCAGTGGGGCCCTAACAACTTTTTCCAGTGCCTGAACAATGCCAAAATTAACAACTCTGCTCTAGAAATTCCTAGAAATCTAGGAATTTTATGTTACGCATAATAGGACAGTCCAAAACCATTGAAATAAATGGGCTATTTCACAGCCCCAGCCACCAAATTCTGATCTGTCTATGGACTGGTGAAGTAAAGGGGGTCTTTGCAGCTCATATAGGTAAACACCCAACAACAATATTTTCAGTTGGAAAGAGGCCACAATGAAGCTGAAGTGCCCCAGCTGATGAAGTGAGTTGCAAGGTTCTTGTTCTATATACATTGTTGCAGACTACACAGGAGCACAAAATCAATGTAATAATTAAATGGTTTGTATACTGAAGTCCTTACGTAGTTTTCATGTTTTTTATTTAGAAATGCACAGTAAAGTGTGAAAAATAGGGGACTCACCAATTCACTTCCTCCTTCAAGCCTGTTTGTGCTTTACATAGATGTTCAAATTGTCATTGCTAGGGCTAAATGACCGTACATTGGCTTTCCATTCATCTTGTCTGCAGGAGCTAGTACTACGCTAGAACGCAAGGCTGTAGCAGATAACACGTAGCGCACACAATGAATCCAGCCCCAGGCTGTGGACCTTGTTTTTTTGGCTGTGCCTGCTCTTGCTGTGACACCAGTTGCAGGGGTCTGGCATAAGCAATCCAATAAAACACTTGGGATGCCACATATTTGGGGTCCCCAGGGACTGCTTCACCTACCGACTTATACATTAGCCTGATTCCACTCCCCAACAGCAACAGGGCCAAATTCATTTAGTCTCATCCAGCATATTGGGATCCACTAGATCCTGCAGATGGCTTGTCTAGCAAGAATGAATGTACAATTTGCCTTTTTCTCTGTTATCTGATAGATCCATGTTTTACTTGGTCACACTTAGTATCAAGATTTGATTTTTGAAATGATTAGTAGATTCGATAAGCATGTTACAGCCACAAGCAGTACATTTTACAGATTGGGGTAAGCCTATCGACAGAAGGTTTTATAGATGGTTATATATACATGATTATAAGCAACCTTTTGATCTGTGGAACTCTATAACTATTGAGTAGTCATTTAGTAAAACAGCTTTTAATCATTTTAATCTTTCATACATTGTTTATAAATGAAGTCTTCATATAAAATGTAACCTTTTAATCTGTAGACCTCTATTCTAAGCTATCCAATAAAGGGTGGTGAACTGCAAAGTTTGTAATGATTTCTGTATAGAATTTTGAGGAAAAGCCTTATGGTTATAATTGTTACTAAATTAATAAGTTGTGGTCCAGCAGTGCTTTGGGATAATATGGGGTAAGATGTGGCCTGTGCCCTAAGAAACAAATGCTTTCTTGTCTAGGAATGTCTAGATCTTTCCATTAATGTCTAGATCAAGGCAATCCCTGTCATTTTAAAACTTCTTGTTCTCATGCTTTTATTTCCTTCACTTCTTGTCTGTCTTATCATTTCTTTCTTTTGGGAAAAGACCTCAAAGTCTGGCGCACAGATCCTGGCTCCATCTTCGACATTGATCCTCTGGAAGACAGTATTCAGTCTAGGAGTCTGCGTATACTTTCTGGTATTGCTTCTATCTTGAGTTTTCCCCAAATCCGCTTTTTAATGAAGCTGTTGTATCAATTTTTCAGGTCAATATGACAGCCATATGTTGTATTTTTTCATTTTACAACCATTCTACTTTTAAAATGAGTGTATTAAAGGAAATTATAACTATATTCTCACACACAACTAAGAAACAGTGAAGGCATTTATCTTAAACTAGAATTACTGTTTTCAGTTACAGTTAAAACCATAGTAAGTCCAATAGTAGTGAAGTCTCTTGTCCTGATTTCCAGATAACTGGATTTCACTAAAACTTCAAAGATACAGGAGGATTTGATTCATAAAATAAATTTCATGGTCTTGTGCAGTTTTTGTTTATGGGTTACAATGTATTATATTTGCTTGCACCCGTCATTTGTTTATTTACAGAAGCACCTGCAATGTTCTTTATGCTTTCCAAACATTCAAGAAAGGCCAGTCTCTGCTCTTAGGTAGCGCACAATCTGAGGATAGACAGATAAGTAGACAGAGGTTAGGGGAAAGGGGAAAAAACAGGCAACAAATATTATGGCCTGAGTTCCATTATTGCCTTGTTTTCTACTAGTGGTAGGGGCTTAAAGAGCGTTTTGAATTTGATTAAAAAGTATTTCCACTCACCTTAATAAAGAAAGCAGGGGCGGTCAAGAGTGTGTTTTTGTTTGTTTTTTTTTTTAAAAGAAGAACTTAAGCTGATTTGCAGACAGTTTATTAACAATAATTCACATTTAGTGATGGAAAACAACTGGCAGTTTTGCCATTGACTTCAGCAGGACTGAGATTTCACCCTTGGTCTTTTGAGCTCTTAAGCTTGGAATTCTTTAAATATTAAAAATGTATTTAAAATAGATTCTTCCAAGTGTAAAACTGGTTAAAATTATCTTTCTTTGCTATTTTTATGTTTTTATTTTTTCAAAATACCTAACCATAAAGATCCTAAAACACCATATTAGAGGCTAAGGAGACCTAATCTAAAGCCCATTACAGCCACTGGAAACATTCCAGTTGTCTTTAGTAGGCTTTGAGTCAGGTCCTAGTAGCTGGCCAGATTTCTTGTTTGAATCCAAACCAGTTTTACAATGCAGTTTACCAGGAGACTGTCGATGAAGTATAAGCACATTTTATAAGCATCCTCGACATTTTCATAAGCTTCCTTCATGCCCTACAGCCACACTATTTGAAATCTTTAAATTTCTTCTTTAAAAATATACATAAAATTAAAATACAGTGGTGACTACTGACGTGTCAGGATGCTAAACTCCTAACCTATACAGTGAGCTAGACTATATTTATCTTGCTGTGAAAAAAAAAGATGGCCATTTTAGCGGACACTTCTGTTTCCAAATTGATGTTGTATGAAAATTACAAAAGAAAATGTGTTATTAGGCAGAGAGACTATAAGGCAAGTTAAAGGCTAGAACAAAATTATCTTGACTGAGTTATAAATCCCAGAAAATCATTTTTTTTATGGGAAACATTTATGGAAACTTAATTATAGTAATAGAAATAATCATCATGTCAGCTGATCACATATGAGTTATAGAGAATAAAGGCAAATGCAGCCACCTTTTGTTGCATTCACTACCCTAGTAAAAAATAGAAATTTTGGTTAGAAATTATTTATCTCACCAAATTTCTTGCTCTCTTTCACATCAATCTTCCTCAAAGTTTTCCACATTTGGGGGGAAAAAACTGATATTTCCAAACAGTACTTTCTCCACCCTCTCTCCTTCCATCTGGGGCTAAGTAATTAAAGGACTGAAAATCAATATAAATTGTCTAGAATCACTTGTATATTGAGTCTATAAAAAGAATAGCATTTTATGGAGTTTGTGCTTGAATAAGTTTGAATATCAGGCCTTTTCCCATGTGATTTAAAGCCATGTTTTTTTCCAACAATGATCCAATTTAAAAGCAAATGCGCCCGTTTTTTTTTTAATCTGAGAGACTTTTGTATATATCAGGGGTGGAATAATGCCTTTATTTTTCAATTGCAGCTTTTTTCCATCTTTCTTCTCTGCTCCATTTTTCAGCCTGTTTTTTCCTAGGATCTCTGCACCTGGGCCTCCTTTCTGCACCTTCTTTGTACCATTTGAGGCAGGATACAAACCAGTCAAGTCCTAGTCAAACTTTTTTGAACCAGTGATGTTCCAAATGAATGTGCAAATGAAGAAAGTTCACCTTCAAGCTGTTGTTACATAAATCATTTGCTGTGTTGTTTGTTTTGTTCTGTTTTGCTCTTCTGTCAGCTAACTGTTTACTGCAGTATTCTTTTCCCCTTTGTAGAAAAAGCAAGGCGTTATAATAAACAGCATTTCCATTCCACCAGTACTTTTGGCATGAGTTTGGGAGATGAAAAGTCAGATGGTTCTGAGACAAACCCTAGCCTTTCTTACTGCAGTGAATTAACAAGGCCATCTGATGAAGGAGGTATCCATGGAGTCCCACTTTTCCCCCCACTAATAACATTGTCACACTGTGTTCAAATCTCACAGGCCAATATTAACTGAATGAACCTTATTTATGCATGAAACATTAGACCCGTGTGAGCTTTTGAAATACTTGCACTGAACTTGGTCCATGGGGAGGCACAAGAAGCTTTTCAAGCTTCCATACTTATTTGCATGCCATCTTTCTATTCCCCACCTCATCACCTTTGGGAATTGAACTGTAATAATCTGAAAGCTTGAGTAACTGCCATTTGCCATAATGAAATGAAGACTCCTTTTGTTCTAACAAAACTCATCCAACTGGTTTTCTCTCTTTTTGAATAATGGGAGTGCACAGTGTAAATGAGAAAATATGCAACTTAACTAAGCAGCTTGAACCTACCTGTGATTTCCAATGAGCAAATCAGCCTTATAATAACAGTTGAGGGTCTTAGTGACCGGATCTCACCATTACCATAGTAAATATCTGTATGTGGTAGGCTCTTTTTTGATACCATGAAAGGAAAAGAAGAAAGACTGAGACCTTTCTTAGATAAGAAACCTTTCCTGGGCTCTCATATGCTATAGATCTGAAAATAAGATATTCAGAAACTACATTTAGAAACTAGGATTGTAATCTGATATTTTTCTACTGTACAGTTTTGTATCAGAATATTGTGGAAAAGTTGTTTTCATTAGTACAAACTCATACCACAAATATAAATACCTTTGCTGATGGATCATATGGTATACAGGGTTGTAAAATAAATAGAAGATCTCTGAGAATGATTTTTTGGATCTTTAAAAAGTTTAATGTGAATTGTCTGTACCTAGTGTCACTTTCTGTTCTATTCTCAATTTGCCATATGAAAAGACTTGCTTATCAGAACATACTGATACCTTGGCTTCGTGCTTCTGCCAGCAATTTTGCCTTTTTGAGGAAATATACATAACTTTGTTCAGAGAAGGTACTTTCTTGTTGTTTGCATGGAATTCTACCACAAAATAAGTGTGAAATGTATATTATTCCATTTGCTCACTTTCTGTCAACATTAGATATAGGCCAGAAGCAAAATACTGGTTCTTGAACTTTGAGAATTTTGGATCATGATCCAAATTTTGTGGGTCAGACCCATCTCCAATTAAACTGCAGTGTGTATTAGACTCTATTTGTGCATTTTAAAAGTTTAAAAGCAATATGTTCTAGAATTTAAAAATTTGTAGAATGGTAGAGACAGCCAATATTAACTTTGAAAAATATGGGCATTAAAAAATGAAAGTTGTTTTAAATATCTTTTAAAACTTATAGGATGTTAATATAGAGGTACTGCCACCAATTCATAATTTAGGATTCTTTGTTTTAATTTAGTATTAGAAGGGTACCAGCATTTTAATTGTAAACTGCAGAAGGCACACTTAGAGCCTGACACCTTTTAGTGCAGTACATTACAGTATTGTTGTCATAGTGCCTAGAGCTCTCAACTAAGATCAGAGCCCTATTATGCTAGGGGCTGTACGTATATGTAGTAAGTGATAGTCCTGCCCACAATGGCTAGACAAGGCAGACTAAGGATGGGAGAAGGAAAATAGTGTTATCTCCTATGTTCAGATGGGGGACTGGGGCTCAGAGAGATAAGTTGACTTGTCTGAGGTCACACAGGAAGTCAGTGAAAACTGGGAACTGAGCCCTTATCTCCTGAATCTCAGGCTGAGAATAGTAAGTAGGGTGTGTATCTTATTGGTTGCTTTGCTATTAACATTCTTTGTTTCTGTGTCTATTTCAAAATTCATTGTTATCATAGAATCATAGAAATACAGGACTTAAATGGATCTTGATAGGTCATCAGTCCTCTGCACTGAGTCAGGACTAAATATTATCTAGACCATCCCTGACAGGTGTTTGTCTAACCTGTTCTTAAAAACCTCCAATGACTGAGATTCTATAACCACCTGATGTTATTTGTTCCAGTGCTTTACTACCTTTACAGTTAGGAAGTTTTTCCTAACGTCTAAATCTCCTTTGCTGCAATTTAAGGACATTACTACTTTCCTATCCTCAGTGGCTAAGGAGAATGATTTGTCACCCTCCTCTTTATAACAACCTTTTACATCCTTAAAGACTGTTATCATGTCCCCCTTCAGTCTTCTCTTCTGCTGACTAACCAAACCCAATTTCTTCAGTCTTAGAATAGAAGTCATGGAATATCAGGATCATTTAGTCCAACCCCCTGCTCAAAGCAGGACCAATCCCCAATTTTTGCCCCAGATCCCTAAATGGCCCCTTCACAGATTGAACTCACAACCCTGGGTTTAGCAGGCCAATGCTCAAACCACTGAGCTATCCCTCCCGTTTCCTCATAGGTCATGTTTTCTATACCTGTAATCATTTTTGTTGCTTTCCCCTGGACTTTCTCCAATTTGTCCACAGCTTTCTTGAAGTGTGATGCCCAGAACTGGACACAATTCTTCAATTTAAGTCTTTTGCAACAATATTGCATTATTGACTCATATTTAGCTGGTGATTCACTATTACCCCCCATATCCTTTTCTGCAGTACTTAGAATCATAGAATATCAGGGTTGGAAGGGACCTCAGGAGGTCATCTAGTCCAACCCCCTGCTCAAAGCAGGACTAATCCCCAATTTTTGCCCCAGATCCCTAAATGGCCCCCTCAAGGATTGAACTCACAACTCTGGCTTTAGCAGGCTAATGCTCAAACCACTGAGCTATCCCTCCCTCTCTTCCTATGCAGTCATTTCCCATTTTGTATTGGTGCAATTTATTATTTGTGCCTAAGTGTAATAATTTGCTTTTGTCCATATCTCATTTCAAGCTGTTTATTTCAGAACATTTCTTCAGTTTGTCAAGATCATTTTGAATTCTAATTCTGTCCTTCAAAGCACTTACAACCCCTTCCAGTTTGGTATCATCTGCAAACTTTATAAGTGTACTCTCTATGCCATTATCCAAACCGTTTATGAAGATATTGACTAGACCCAGACCCACAACAGATTCCTGCTGGACCCCACTCAGTATGCCCTTCCTGCTTGATTGTGAACCATTGATAACTACTCTCTGAGTACGCTTTTCCAACCAGTCATGTGCCCACTTTGTTAGTTAATCTAGGCTGTATTTCTCTACTCTGCTTATGAAAAGGTCATGTAAGACAGTATCAGAAGTCTTACTAACGTCGAGCTATATTACGTCTTCGGCTTCCCTCCATCAACTAGGCTTGTTACCCTGTCAAAGAAACATATTAGGTTGGTTTGACATGATTTTGTTCTTGAAAAATCCACATTGACTGTTACTTATCACCTTATCATCATCTAGGTGCTTACAAATTGATTATTTTTCCTTCATTATCTTTCTGGGTACCAAAGTTAAGCTGACTGGTCTGCAATTCCCTTGGTTGTCCTTATTCCCGTTTTTTAATAGATACATATTTGCCCTTTGTGTAGTCCTCTGGGATCTCTCCCATCCTCCAGGAGTTCTCAGAGATAATCACTAATGGCTCACAGATCTGTTGAGCCAGGATGAGGGGCCAGGACTCGATGAGGATGTGTTGAGAAGGACCCTGTTAAGATCAATGTATTGTAGTAAGGTATTTTTACCCCTTTTGACCTGAGTGGTTAGCCAGTATTCGGGATCTTTCAGATTGTTTCCATTTGGGGGATACACCGATGCCTGAGGCAGGTATTTCTTTGATGCAGTCCTGTTTGTTTTCAAAGAATGTATGTAAAATTCTGTGTCCCTGAACAGAGTATGAAACAAACAATAGGAGACAGTGTCTTTTTTCACTATTCCAAGCCTCTTTCCACCCAACAGCTGACTCCTTAATTTTTTTTCTCAAAATCATGCTATGAAAGCTTCCTTGCTGCCTTCTCTGGTGTTTCTTCCCCTTCTCCGTCACACACATGGCTCCATCAAACAACACCCAGTCCCATGCATTTACATTCAGACCCCAGGGAAGACTCCTCTGACCACAAGATTGAACTCCTCCAGGCTTGCATGTGGTCTGTGTTTTGAGTAGCGGCTCTTATTGTTTCATCTATCTATACCACACAGGAGCTTAATTGCTTTTTTATGTTTGTCCTGCATGAAGGGCTGCTGTTACACCCACTAACTTCAATGAGGTTTCACTCAACCCCCAGCGTAACAATATGTTGGGTTTATACAGTCTGAAATTAAAAATCAGTGTTAAAAGAAAAAATAATTTGTCAGAGTCAAAGAAACCTTTCTACCCAGTCCTGACCTTCCTGCTGCCTCCTTCATATAGTGATTCTCCAGGACATCTTTGCTTGGAAATCTTAGAGGGATGCCAGGAGCTCCACTCTTCTTGCCAATTACAATCCAAATATTTATTGAGCTGCTTGATAGCTTTCCCTTAAGGGGCATTGGGAACTTCCCTTTTCTTAAGGGATGGAGAGTGCAGGGGCCATTCGGCTTCCCTTGCTGTCGTCAGCTCACATTTTCCTCTTCAGTGTGCTGAGAAGTAGTGCTAAGTGAATTACCGCTACTTTTCTCATTATTGTGGTTACTGTGGATATCAGTTGTCTTCACTAGTATATGACATGTCTTTTCGATTTGGTTTTAAGGCTGTTATATTTGTCTGGTTTCTTTGTCACAGAACCAGGCATGTTGCAGCTTTTGTGCAGGCATCTTTAAACTGTGGCTCAATCTCAGGGAGGGATGAATTCAGTAATTCCACAAGACAATGATGCATGTAGATGGACTGCCGAGGTTTGGCCAAAAATGCTCTAGATCTCTCTACAAGGGAAGAGCATGCTGGCTTGTGGTCTGAGCCAGCATTCTGTATCTGGGTGGGCAGGAGACGACGTAGTTGGTAATATTTTCAGGAATACCTAAGTGACATGGATGCTTCAGGCCCATTTTCAAAAGTGATTTAGTCTCCTAAATCACTTTCAGAAATGGGACTTAAGCACCTGTGTCACTTAGGGGCTTCCAGAAATGTTACTTTGTGGCCATGAATTAGAGTAGATT